ATTAGGAATAGAAACAGGATAAACGCGGCGGAGACTGGAGCTAGTTGGCTGGCAGTAGGCCTGTTCTACCATAGACGTAGTCCATGTAGCAAAGGCTTAACCATGAAATTACTCGTGGTCTTTAGCCTCAGGTTAACCTAGCAGACGCAGAGTGTGGGAAATAGCGCCTCGTGAACCACAGATGGGGTGGCAGGGGTCAAGTGAAATGCTTGAACCAGGGAGAGAGCAGATGGGGCAAGAGGAAGACTTTGATAAGACCGAGGGAAGGAGGACTGCGTAACAATATGGAAGACTCTGATCAACATTTCCAGCACAAGGGTGAAGGGGGGTGAGAACGCCAGTGTGGAGTGTGGAGGGTTCTCATGAAAGTCCAACTCTGGAAATTATCATTCATACTAGGGACTCCTGACTAGGTGCGCTACTCTGGGTCTTCCTACCAATATGAAAAAATTGCAAAAACAGGGTCAAACAACTTCTATACAACGAAAGGAGACTGCGATCACACAAAAGGCCACACCATCTTGATCTTCATATCTTCAATCAATCGACTACATTACCTTTTTCTCGGTTATAAGTAGTCTGTCGAGAAGACCAATAAGTCACTCCCGCTGGGGGTGTTTACAAGACCTAAGTGAAGTAGAAACTGCAGTCCATCCTGGATGAGAAGACCTTTTGGGAAAAAAAGCAATGTGGAATTCAATGGAGGCGTCAGCTCTACTCATATCGTTGTGGGAAATTTTTCCTACCAGTCCTTCATCACCTTAAACGAAATAGGATGAATCTATCTCATATAAATGACTTAGTGGTAGTTTCGAACGCCAATTTATAAACGAAAAAATTATGGGGAAATTGTCGATGAGACAAATTTGTATTTCCCATTACATTCAACGACGCCACTTATATTAGATATTGGAATGTTTCGAGATTACAAATAACTAATAAAAAAATTTGGCTTATTCGCTTTCATTGTGGGTGACTAAACCTTTTGGCAATTTAGGCTGGATAAAAGTTAATGAGTTGGTGGAACCTATTTATTTCATTGTATAAAATATCAAACTTCAGTTATTTGCATCACCTTAAGTGGGTTAGAGTGATTAACCGTTTTATTGAATCATAACGTGACTTCCGAACTGACAGTTGAGTTTTTTCTACAATAAATGAAGTAGGCTCCTCGATGACATTGAATTTTCCTAGAACATGTCTCATAAAGGCTATCTCATTCATAATGGACTGCAGTTTCGACCTTCCTTCGTCGTCGGATCGACAGCCCCAACAGGACTCGATACTGTAGTATCATGTCCACTTTACCACTTCATTACACAGCCACCGGGTAACAGGGCAATTATGTCATTGAAGGCAAACCAAGCGTCTCCCAATTAAAATTTATAGTGAGATGGCTGAGTAAGCAAACATGTTTTTGCCAATGTAATCAAGGAAGCCATGTATTTTCGGCTTAAGTAGGTTTCGAATCTATCAGTAATTCCTGAATAAAAACTTATTATACCAAACCCTTATATAAGAAATAATGATAGTATCTACGCCTAATTATACCTATATTCAAGGTTGTATTGCTTTTATTCTGCTCAATCTGTTGCCTTAAAACAAACGACACCAATTTAATGCTTGACTGGAGCACTTCTACACATCCTGAATGGCATTTTAGGAGCATACAACTTTCGAGAGGCTTTGCTAGCGCACCTATAGTGACTGCCCACGATGAATTGAAGAGATGGCTTGATTTATATGCATAGAATTACATTTTGCCTTCTATCCGGCCACATCACTTCAATTCATTTTGGACAGAGTTGCCATCAGTTGGGTCTAAGGACCAATCGAAACCACTACTTTTCTATAACAATCAGGCTCATGGTAGTAGTGAAGCAAAACTTTTATAAATGAAACAAATAATAATTTGCTCAGTGTTGGTTTGACCGCGCTTTTGAAAATCGGTCGGAGCAACAAAGAGACCTTGTACAACAAACTTGGTTCTTTTTCCTTTGCCAGAGAATTGATGATGATTTCTCGCATCGGACGGGCGAATAGGTACATTCCAAGTAGTTTCACCGGTACCAAAGTCGGACACATAAGTGAGAGGTGCCATCCCTAGCAAAGTGTTACAACTTAGCAAAGTGACAAATGAAGGCAATATCACCCTGAAGCATGTAATCCGTTGAAAACCCTCTCAAAATCTAGTTTAATATTAAGATTGGATACTTTTAAAATGGGACTAAAACTAGAGCTAAGGATGCTGGCAAATACTGGCTTGCTTTCCGAGAATCAGTTGCCTTTACACGATAATTTTACAATATTATAATGGGCTAAAATGGTGATCATGTCCTCTCGGTTGGAAGGAATTCTCAGGAAGTTGCATATAATTTTGAAAATTATGAGTTGTGTTAGGGATGGTACTTCTAACTGCCGATGCCAACTTCCATACAGGCGAAATGTCTGAGAATGTACCAAATCGACGTTTGTATGCTGAAGCCTATCCAGAATGCAGAACCGAGTATGTTCCACAAAGTATCCCTATCGCTCCGAGCAAGTGACGAGAGCGACGTAATGTGCTCTGAGAGAAACTTTAGTTGTTCTAAAAGTCATGCTTACCATTTCAGAAAAAACCTGACTAGGCTTTTGTTGCTTAGCCCGTCCAGCTTCAACAAATGGTGCCGGTGAAGCGATGAGACGAGTTCAAGACCTCGGCCCAGCATTAATCAGAATAGTCGTATGGAAGCCATGGCAGAGTGGGATTCGTCGCGATCTTTCATGGGCTGTGTCGTCTTCGCTAGTGTCGCAACTGGCGCATCTCAATACCACTTCATCTCCGTATAGTCGGGAATCAGTAATGCTACTAGAACTGATTAATTATGGTGTTTTTTAATAATTTTGAAAGATTTCCTGTTAGTCTAGAAAACCTAATTTCAATAAAAGAAAATAAGTATTGAGATCGGCTGATATTGCAGGCACCAATTTATTTCGTCGACAAGATTACCAAAGAAATGTCAATACTATAAGCTAAAATACCACAACTCCTCCTGAGTGCTAGTGAGACCAGCTCGGGCGAGGTCCAGTCCAGCCTGTAGGAGAAAACCTTTTAGGAGGCAAAGATATGTCAATTGAGTTGACTTCGTTGTCGCAACTTGGTCTTGTTGTCAGGTGACTTAGTAGAACA